CGAGAATAATAGTGTAATGCACTCTATTCAAAATGATTTATTAATTTATTTTTCTACCCTTTAATTTGTAATTATTCCGTTTTATTTTCGATTTTTTTATTTTGATAATCAGATCAAACAGGGTACAAATAAATTAATAAATCATTTTGAATAGAGTGCATTACACTATTATTCTCGTTGTCGAGAGGGACAATTGTGGCCTGCTGAATCATGGTCCCCAAGCACAAAAAAATCGTTAGAAACGGCAAAAAAACGCGTTTTTTAACACTAGAACGCCCGGAAATTTTCATGACCTAGAACGCCCAAAGCGGTCATTTTGACCGTTACTGTTTTTTTTAAAATTTTATACTTAAAAACGGTTCTGAATCCAAAAATGAATTAAAAATTCTGCAAAAAATAATTTTTGTGGGACAAATTAAAAGTTATGACATTATTTATTTTTAAATAAATTGTATGCAGTTTGTTTTATTAAGGATAAAAATCACAAAACGGTCAAAATGACCGACCGCTACGAGCGTTCTAGTGTTAAAAACACGTTACGAAACTCCCGTTTTTTTACCTGTTTTCAAGCGTTTTCTATGGGATACAACGCGTTTCATAACGTTTGTTTCATTTTCCGTTCTCACGCGTTTTTAACGGTTGAAAACCGCAACTTATCATTCACCCTCTTATTTTGCGGTCCGCCGACTATATAAGCACAATCGAAATATCGAAGAGATATATCATCGTCTTTTCATTCTTTTTTAGTTTTAGATCATCGGTTTTGTAATTCCTTTATTACAGATTTTCAGATTAAGTCCCGCTGGGTAGCCAAGTCTCATCTTTGGCTTAACAAAAATTCTGGGACGATTCAGAAGCTGCAGACTTGATTTCGACAGGCGTTTTTATTCCGTTTTTAACGATCAAAAAACGTGTTAAATGTTTCATCTGAAACGCGTTACGGAACGCGCTCTAGAACGTTTGAAAACACGTTTTTTGTACGTTTTTAATGCAAAAGGAACGCGTTTCTAAGTTGTTCAAAAGACTGTTTTAACGCGTTTTTCTTCAAGACTCAAAAATTATTTTTTATAAAAACTATGTTCCCCAATGCCCTGCCTAACGAATGGTGAATTTCACAACTGTCTAGCTGCTATCAATTGAAAGCTAGTCAAAACTGAATTACGATCATTGTATTTTGAAAGGAATAGTAATGATGGCTAGAAAGCAAATATAATTAATAATTTCAAATATTTTTTAAAAAGAAGATTAGATTTTATCACAAAATATGCAAAATATCAAAGAAATAAAAACAATAGTAAGCCAACAGTTTTTTTAGTATGAGAAAGATAAAAAACTATTAAATAACAAGAAAAACAATGTGAGATCACAAAAAACAATTAAAAAATAAGTAAACAGCACCCTGGGTCATCTGCAAATAAAATAAAAGAAAATCGATGGACCTTCTCGAATAAGGACGGAATTCGAGATAGCTTTCGTAAACTGAGGCGTTAATTAAACTCATACCATTTTCCAAATCGAGGTATAATTTTTTTCCACAATTCATAATTTTTCTCTGCAATATCACATTTAACTGGTTTAAATACTTTTTCAACTTGAATTATATTTTCAAAATCTTCATACTGATCAATAATACCAAAACCGTATGCAGCTAAAAATCCAGCTCCAATTCCACTAGCATAATCAAATGCATGACAACGTTCTATTTCCATATTAGATAAATTACATATTGTTTGTACGATAAAATCTGAATGACTTACACCACCAGCCACTCTTAATCGTTTCAAATGATTATTTCCACTGTATTTTATATAATCATGTCTAACTAATGCAAATAATTCATAGATGACAAATGCTAATGATTCTAATATCGATCGGATTAAGTCTGCTTGAGTTGTTGATGAATCAATACCGCTAAAATAAAAGAAATTATTTAGACTTGTTTTTTAAATAGTTAACAAAAAGAAAAGGTAACTTACAGAAATCCCGATGCTGAATATGGATCATGATGAGGCAAACCAAGTCCACCAAATGCAGGCAAAAAAAAACAAGTAGATATTTTTGGTTCTATGTTTTTTAAATCATTGTAATCATCGAAAAATTTAGCAGAACGTGCCCAATTTAGAACATTTGCACAACCAGAATGTATAGCATGCAAAAAATGAACTTGTTCAGTTGAATTATGTAAATTTGTGTGAGCTACCAATGGATAAATGCCATCACTACACGCTGTAACAGCACCAGTTAAAATATTAATGAATGCACCTGTTCCTAGTGTTAATAAACATTCACCAGGTTCTGTCACACATTGACCAAACATTGATGCTTGAACATCCCCAATAACAGCCGTAATTGGAATAGGAGAACCTAAAAAGTAAAAGAGATGTGAATAGATATACGTCTAATATCGATTATAGACATACCAAATATCGTTGTATCACAAATTCCAAATTCACCATAAGTTGGTTTAATATTTGGTAATAATGCCATATTTATTCCTAAACTTTTACATAATAACGTTGACCATTTTTGTTGAAATGGATCATACAGTCCTATAACATAAAATTGCAAGAGATCTCTAATATATTTAAATATTGATTAATATACCGGTTGATGATGCACATGACGGTTCTGTCACATGTATTTGTCCTTTTGTTAATTTCCATAGTAGCCATGTTTCAATACAACCAAATAATAATTTATTTTCATTTGAACGTTTTTTTAATGATGGATTTTGTTCAAATAACCACAATAATTTGAATGCAATCATTTGTGTACGAAATTCTAAATGGCTTATTGTTGCTAAACGTGCTGTTTGAAATACAGGATAGGCTAATTTTGAAAATGTTCTGACAGTTTTCCACGTAAATGAATTATTTGACGAAGTTGCCAATTGACTAGATCGGGAATCATTCCATAGTATAATATTTGAATATGTTTCACCTGTTTCCTTATCCCATAATATAACAGAATTGCGTAATGTTGATATACCTAGAGAATAAATTATAACAGAATTAAAAATAATTATACATTAACAAAAAATGAATCAATTTAATCTAATAAATTTCATAAAGAAATTACAATAATAGTTCTTTCAGTTTCTTCAAGTACTTTTTCTAACGTACCCGTTACTCTTTTTTCAATGATGTATTCAAAATACAGTTGTATGCTTACCTACCCAAACATGATATATCATTTATTTTCAATGATGAACGTTCAATTGTTTCATTTACAACATCTAAGAATGATTGCCAAAATTTGTCAGGATCAAATTCATAACCATGTGGTTCAGGTGTTAATAGATGTTGTTCTTTTTGACTTGAACTAATAATATCGAATTTTTGTGAAAATAAAAAGGCTCTTATTGATGTTGTACCAATATCTATTGATAAAATATAAGGTGTTCGAGGCTGAGGAGATGGTAAATCATTAGTACTATCTCGACTTGTGGTCATATAAAGCATATTTCCTAATCTAGATTTAGTAGCCATTTTTGTTGGACTTTTTGGAAGGGTTGATTGTTTTTGTTCTTCTTGCTGTTGTTGTTGCATTTTTTATTTCACAATAAAGTTCATATAATTGTTTCGCTTGATCTTGACTTAATAAATCTAAATTATTCACGTCAAATTGTTTACCTAATTGTTCACTATTTTTTCGATGTAGTTGACGATTAAGAATCATCGCATATTCCTAAAAATAAAAAAAAGAGTAAGTAAAAAATGAAACGATGCAATAATATTGTTTGAATAAGTAAGTATACTGAAGAAGAATTTATGAATCACATATGAAAATAAATTGGCCTCTTCAAATGAATGAGAGCCGCCTTGAAGGCTCAATTTTCTTCTGTTACATGATGCTGAAATGTTATGCTGTGCTTAGTATTATTGGAAGCTAAAGGACATCTTAGCTAAATCATAATTCTTGTATACTACACATTTTAACGGGCACATACTCTACATCCAATCTGTTTTTGACATCTAAAAGAAGTTATTATATCTATTTGTTTCATTCTAGAGATGATGACAGTTTTTCTTTCGATTTCATTCACAAATACTTTTTAGAATCAATACATGATTTACATCCTAATAAGTTTTATTTCATGAATCTATGTGTATTGTTAAATTTAATAAATGGTAGATATAAAGACATCCAATGATGAGTGAATACATTTTAATAGTTCAACGTTTCATCAAAATTCAATAATAAAAAAAAAAAAACCTAATAATCGTCAACTAGTTAATAAAGAAATATTTTCTCTTTCTACTCTATTCATACACTATGAATAAAGGACAACCGTATCAAATCGACATGATAAATAAATGATGTTTATATTCATGTGTAGATCATACACACATTGTTTTTTTCTTTGAATAAATTTGTCATAAATGATTACAAAATACTTTCCATAAAGTAGTTTTAATATAGTTAATCATTTTTAATTTGACTTCTCACAATTTCTCCATAGTCAATTCTCATTTTCGATTATGAAAAATATTTTTTAATTTTAACTATAGTTAAGATGTTATAAAGTACCAGAATAATTAGTGAAAGAAACCATGATCCATAGTCTCAGCAAATATTCTGTTTTAAATAGGAAAGAAAAGCTTACTTAATTAAATACTTGTGTGATCTCAGTGATGAGTGAATACATTTTAATAGTGTGTAATCAAAAACGAATGGTCTATTCATTTTTCATATGGCGTGTTCTTTTCTTTTTTTTTTTCTTTAATACACTCAACCTGTACGGGAAAAAAAATAAATAAAACATTAATATGAATCAAACGAAAAAAAAAGTATGACTTCAATCTGTGTCATAGTCAGTGAATGAAACAAGAGAAATAGTGATAATGTCAACGAAACAGATAAATTGTAGTAGAATGGAGTGCACTTTTATTATTATTATTAATCTTATTTAAAAATAAAAAAAAAGTAACTTTTTCCAAAAACCAACTGCTGAAATGAATCTGTTAAAAAAAAATATTGTGTACGTTGAATGAATTGAATTAAATAAAAGTAAAAATAAAACAAATTTTAAATGACAGAAAAATTTTCATAGATAAACATGTTATTCACAACTAGATATGCAACAGTTACATTTTATTACTAGTTAACTGTACTTGTAAAACTGCTGATAACTGTAACTACTCATAACTGTAGACAAATATTTTAGAGTGAGTTAGTCTTGTACGATTTGTATACATTTTAAGAACGTTCTCACTCTTAAAATGTATGAAAATCGTACAAGACTAACTTACTCTAAAAAAAATATTTATCTACAGTTATGAGTAGTTACAGTTTTACAATTAACTGTACTATAGCATGCCTATTCTCAGAAAATCTTTTGAAATCAATGTTTTTAATCGTAAAAGACATTTGTTTCTTTCGTTCTAAACACAACTATTTTTCTCTATTCATCTATTAAATAAAATTTATTTTTCTTAAAAGAAAAAAAAATATATATCTGTGTACGTACACACATTTATATTTAGAAAGAAAATTTTTCTAATAATCTCACCGTCCGTTCATTCAATCATAAATTTGTTAATAAATTCTGGTTGTATTTTTTTGTGACGACGAAATTCATCTTTAACATATTGATTACCTAATTCTTTTGATAAACTATGGTGTAATCGTAACAGTGTTTTATATAATGTTAATACACGTAAACGATGTTGAACACCGAAAATAGATTCATACATATGAATTTTGAGAAATAATTTGAAAAAAAAATTTACTGTTTAAAATCTAAAAAGAAGGGGGTGTACTTGTGTTTGTTGTCCATCAGTGTTCTATAATGATGGCCATCTAAGTTGAGCAAATCTTAAGAAATATATTCATTTTCTTTTTTCTTTTTGAAATTCTAGATATTTTTAGATTTACTAGTAAAAGTTAATTTTTTGTACAAACTTATCAATTCATTACGTTTCTTCAACTATGTCTACGAACATTATGCAAAATTGTTCAGATCATTTATACGATTTTAGCAAGTTATCTAAGAATAAAATGTTCACGTTTCTCTTTTCCTTTATATTAGCTAACAATAAGTGACGATTTAGAAAAAAATGTACTTATTTAGTGCATCTTTTCTATTCAAAATTCTCATGGAATAAAATTGTCTTCCTAAACAGCAGAAAAAAGGCGTACGAAACAAGTACTTCTTTTCTATTTGATCACATACTCCTAGTAAAACTGCATATACTCAACATTTCTTTTATATCACACTCAGAAAGTTGCAGGATGTTTTTCAAATCAAATATTTCAAACTTTTTGTCTTGAATTCAAACTTTAATATTCTCTTCATGAAATATCGAAAGATCAAAATCAGTACAGAAAAACCTTTTATTTATCAACAAAAAAACAAAACAAAAATAAAGAAACATGTCAGATGTAAAAAATCACTTTTTCAAAAATATCAAAGTTCAATGAGGTACGTTTGATTTGAAGTTTGAAAGAACAATAAATATATGTCAATAAAGCAGGTGCTATTGAGAATGATTATCAGCACTGTTCATTTGGCTCAAAATGAAGCGAAAGAAAGAAATAAAAAAATAAATAACAAGTTTGTTTTGTTCTACGATCTACCGGTATGAAAAAGAAAGATGAACACAATTAGTATTAAGATATTTAAATGTAATTAAGGAATGAAAGCAAATAGGACAATTACACAAATGAAAATAAAAAATGTTTAGCACGTAACAGTGAAAGAATCATATACATGAGCAAATAGTTCCTGAGAAATAGAGAGAAAAGAGAGAAGGAAAGAAACAAAAAACTGGACGGTATATCAACGAATATTTGTATCAATGATTATCATAACAGTGTTTCTTGTCGTTTACCCGCCATCATTTCCTCTTTTAAACGTTGCATATAACGATTTAATTCATTATTGTTTGGCTCTAATTTTATTGCTTCAACTACATCGTGTAATGCATCTTCGTACAATCTAATAATAGAATGAAATGAAATTATTAGTCATAACTTCGAATATTTTAAATAATTTCTAATTACCTTTGATCACGTTTTATTCTCGCACGAAGTAATAATCCATCAGATGTTGTCTGTAGTGATAATGCTTGTGTACAATAATCAATCGCTACATCAGAAGCCTAAATGAAAAGAAGAAAAATGATTTTATAAAATTTTTGAATAACAACATGCTTAACTTACATTCATTTTTCTTTTACATTTCGCCAAATTAATTAGACACGTATATTTCATCATTTGAAAATGATTTCTAATATGTGTATTATTCGATATGCCTATATCACGATGTTCAGTGATCAAATTTGATTGTGGAATCTTTTTCATTGCGTAGGAAAATCGATAAGCAGCATCTTTGAACTGACTTTTCTAAAGTGAACAACATTCTCACAAAAAGAAAATATAGATTTGAGTACTGAAAACATACTTTATATAAAGTAACACCATCTTCGATTAATTTGTTTAATAAGATGATCATCATATCATTTTTCCCGGATGCTAATGCCCATGTTGATGGTCCTAAAAAGGAAGAGTAATTGAGTTTTTACTTTTGCATTCGCATTTAAAATACACCTCTACACACCTAATTTAACACTTCGTTTCAATAAACAATTGACAACAGCTACATTTCTACATCCAATTGCTCGATCTAACGCTCTCATCCCATTGTTATCAACATGATCTACAATCGAGCCACTATCGATTAATAATTGAACCAACTGTGGATCACCGTAAAATGCTGCCATATCGATTGGTAAACGTCCATTAATATCCTTATGATTAACGTCACTGTTATGAGCTAATAATGTTTGACATGCATGATAATGACCTTTTAAACACGCCCACGATAATGCTGTTAAACATTCCTCATCTTCGTGATTAACATTTGCACCTTTTAAAAAGAAATGAGAAAATATTGTCACATGTTAAAGTCTCAGCTATTGTAGAAGCATTACCTTTTTCAATCAAACTATCTATAACAGCTAAATGTCCTTCACTAGCCGCAATAATAAGTGGTGTTCGTTGTTGTTTATCTGTCAATTCAATTGACGCATTTTGATCAATTAAATATTCTACAATATGCCACATTCCTGCTTTAACAGCCGCTAATAATGGTGTCATTTGACGATGATTCGTTTGATCAATATTTGCATTTCTTTTCAATAGATATTCCACGACATCCAAATGACCACAATAAGAAGCAGTTGTCAAGGCTAAAGAAGCAAATATTCATCATTAACTAAACAAATAGAAGAAAAACATGAAGAAAATTGAACCTGTTTCTCCATAAATACAATCATATTCATCAATCTGAATAATATCATTCATATGATTTAATAATAATTCAATAGTATTCAAACATCCATTTGTTGCCGCATAAATAAATGCTTGTTGAAATGATTCAGATTTATCTAAACAATTATTCATCATATCTTGATTTTCCATACCAATTTTAGATGGCCATATAACATCATACAATAGCTGAAGAAGATCTGTATGATTCTGTTTAGCAGCATAGGCAACAGCCGTATAATGTGATTTATCCGTATAACCAACCTAAAGGAAAAAGCGAATATTTATAACTTATCATGGATAAAACATCTCGAACAAATGATCAGAAGAAATGTATCGAGTATTGCACATATTCTATTTCTTACATCAGCTCCATTTTGTAGCAGTAAGTGCACAATTTGTTTATGTCCATTTTCACACGCTAATATCAACGGTGTTTTAAGATCTTGTTTTGATCTGATATTGACCTCAGCTGAATATTTTACTAATAATTCTACAAATGCTGTATAACCTTGAGTTGATGCAATACATAGAAGAGGTATTTGTGAATATTCGACTAAAGCATTTGGATCAGCCGTTGTTAATAGAAGTAATTCGGAAACATCTAATTCTGGATAATAAGCATTTCGTAATGAGCCAAGTAAACGTGTCGGATCACTAATAATATGAGATATCCAGAGACATATTGAATCAATACTGTTTGGTGTTGTTAAGAATAAATCTGACTGAGATAAATGACGAATACAATCGAAGGCTTCCGTTGGCCATAAATTTTCTTTTGTACGAGATTTTGTTAATGCCAATCGTGAATGACCTTTTCTAATAAATGTAAAGATAAACGGATAGAATCAATGAGAATATACACATAACATTCAATACGCACTTGATATCACAAGTTAAATCACCGTTCACCAACCAATTTCGAATACAACGATGTACAATTGCATAATTCGAACCGGGTAAACGAGTTATAAATGCAGATAAACAATTGATGCACTAAAATAAAGACAAATGTAACACCAATTAGATAATTTTTGCTCATTGTAAAAACCTCTAAAAATTGCTTATAATCGATTGAAGATCTAATTTGATCTGAGTTCACACACGTATGTAGTTCATTTAAGCTTAACGGTTGTCTTGATGCTAAACATATTTCTAATATTGATTTTATTCGAGGTTGAAAACATTCATCAACGTCATCAATCAATAACAATCTCCTTGTTATATATGTCAAAATTTCATCAATCGTCTTTGGGATAACCTGTTGAGTATCGTGTAGACTTAATCTAAGTGACGGAACTTGTTGATGTTCAATTAAATCACATAAATACGACAAATAAAGAAAATTTCCTTGTGAAAGATAATATAATTTTTCAATTAAATAATGAAAATGTTCGATATCATTCAACGAATTTAAACCATAACCTTCGTAAAATGTTGGAGAATAACAACAATTTCGAGAATTCTAAAAAGAAAAATTAAAATCTTTGCTAATTAAAGAACATCAACATATGAAAATGTATTAGATATAGCAATCAGCCATTTTTAAATGAACTATATTTCTGTTCAACTAGGTTAAAAGTAGCAGAAGGTTCTTATATTTATAAAAGAAAGCGTAAAGATTATTTTTACTTGTTGTAATTGTTTGTTGATGAAATCGAATCGTGCTGTTATATAGTCATGTATATCATTTCTAACAAAATTTTGATACGAACCATCGTCCAAATCAATCAATTCAAAATGTTTTAAAAATTTATCTTGTTCGGCATTATTTATCTGATTTCGATTTAATGTTATAATAAATTTGAGCCATGGGGGTAAACGATGTAAATTATCATATAAAAATTCTGTTATTGTTTGTCCTTCATTATCACACAATTCATTATCAATACCTTCAATAATAATAAAGATTAATGGAAAATTTAATGATGACGAAAATAGTTCATTCAGATGTCCACACATTTTTAAGCCATTTAATTGTTCAATAAATGAATTAAAAAATGCAAAACTCACACCACCTTCAATACATGAATTTAATGTTATCGATTTACGAATCAATTGTTCATTCAAAATAATATCACGATAAGAATGTAAACAAGGATGTTCTAAAGATCGATAGATGATAGAATGAATTATATCTGGTAATGTACAAGAAAGAGATGTTGAACAATCACAGAAATGATACGATAATAAATGAGATTGTAACCATTGAAATGAGAATGATAAGTTCATCGATGATTTTTGAAATGCTAGAAAAGGATAACATGTAAAAATCTAACTGTACATCACCTAATCAACATCTGTTTGTGGAGACTCGAAGTTAAACACTTATTTACAGTGTAATAAGGCTTTTATCATAAAAATGTAACCCTTGGCAATAACAGTTCAAACTGAAGAATAATTGTACAAAATTGACTATCTGATGTTCTACAAGAATTTTCAAAGATTTTCGATAAATATAGTCGGTTTTTCTTACTTTTCTCGCCATTGCCATTTAAAATTTGCTTATCTTCGTCTTCTTGCTTCGGCTGTCCAAAAACACTGTTTTTGATAATATTTTCTATAAGGCATGTTTTACCCATTCCTGATGATTGACTTATTAAACATACACCGTATTTCGAAGTTGTTTTCAATTGTTTAACAATTTCATCATACACCCAGTTACGATTAATCACATTTTTAGCAAATCTTACAACATGTTCATCATCTTCATCGTCATCGTCAATTATATTTGGTTTCGGACGATGTAAACACATATCAAAATTATCCACGCTTAACGGTGATTGTTGTCGTTCAGTGTCTATGTTTACATAAGATATGGGCTGAGACACAGTATATCGAGTAGACAACAAATCCTGAGTTTGTTCTTGTTGTTGAAGATGCAAATGTGGTTGAAACTTTTCATTTATACATTCATGTCTATTCATGCATGTGACATAACCTTGAAAACTACCGTCTGGAATGATATAAAAAAGCCGAAGTTTGATTTATGCTACAAATATTCAAGAATTGAAGAACATTTACCTATTACCGAACTAATAATTCCTGAATAAGATAAATCTGAGTTCGACATTGATGGTGATATACTTGCAGCGGATGGAGAATTATTTGGTTTTATTTGTTGTCGTAATTGTTCATTCTTTTTCTTTGCCATCATCCGTTGTAACGATGTTTGTGAAGAGGAAGCAGATGATGATTGAGATGGCGATACTGTTAATGAACGATTATTACTGTTGTTTGCTAAAAATTGTAATAATTGTTCGTGCGCATATTCAGGACATGGTGGTGGTATCTGATGATTATTAATTACAATTGTTTTCATGTTATTTGTAGAATTATGATAATTAATCGTTTTTTTCTCCGCTTTTGTTATCATCTAAAAAAAGAAAACGAAAAAAAACAAATAACAGTGTTCATTATTTCTTTATGTAAAATCTATAACATCTGGATGTTGTTCAATCGCATACTTGTTGTTGTGGTTGTGCATGTTTGACAGAAACGAGTCCATTTGTTTTCATTTTTGATCGTTGACTTTGTGTTAATGATGAACGATTGAATAAACGATTTGTGAATGATTCGTTTTTGTTTCCGTTCTCTAATGGTGGTGATTGTTGTTTATTACTGTTATTCAAATAGAAAAAGAGTTTTTGTAAATGACCGGAAGTCGATTTATGATGATTTGTTTCGTCATTATTATTTTGTTGTGGTTGTTGATGTTGTTTGCGTTTTAACAATGGAGAGCTAAATGATATTGAACGTTGTGCCTTTGGTGTGCTAGTGGTGGCTGTTGTCGTCGATTTCAATTCAGGAGAATTTTCTGGTACATGAGTAACAAGATTATTTTTGATAACTGTTGGTTGAAGTTGCATACCCGAATGTTGAGATTTGATCGCCACTATAAGTTTTAAAAAAATGATCACTACTCATTTTTGGAATGTATCAGTAGCAGAGAAGAAGAGACGAATTTGTATGTTAGATTGAATCCCATATCATATTAGACGAGTGGTGCATCGCTTACACAGGCAACTTGAGTAAAACCGCGGTTGAACGTCCGACATGGTCTAACAAACAGAAGTACTTGAAGTCCACCGATTGTCTTTTGACACAGACAGTCATTCATTCAATCACTCTGCAATACACGTTCAGTAGCAAGCAATCTTGTTGTTTTCAAATGATAGACATTTGAAAATTTTATCCTTACAAAATTTGAAAGTTGACGTATTTTATTTTCGTTCCGTTTCTCGCTCTAGAAATTCATTGTAATTAGAAATACGAGTTATCCAATCCTCGATGCCTTTTTAAGATGGCAGCTCTTAACTGTTCAACTACGTTTCTTCAAGAAATGATGCTGTCCAATTACGCTCAGTCTAATAAATTTCTTAAGGTTTTACGGTGATAAATCTCTCTAGAAAAAGTAACATACTAAAACTTATCACATGAAAATCGCGTTGTTCTACTTCTGGAAGCGTCAGTACGTTACCGTTTTTGCTCTTCTCCTTCTAATATTTGAACATAACACCGGAACAAAAATAAAGTCCGTTTTGAGTTGCTGATTGTATATTTTTGGCGAGGGATACTTCCAAAAGTTTAGGAAAAATTTTGAGACAAAATTTCCATTTAAAATAAAAAAGCATTTTTCAGCAACTCAAAACGAACCTTATTTTTTTGTTCCGGTGATATGAAAAAAATTATGCAAAACATTTTATGTAGTAGAGAACAGTATGCTTTTCAAAAGTCAATATGAACTGAGCCCTATCTATCCAATGCGTTGTGAGATATATATATGAAATTCAAGCAGACCCTCAAAACAGTAAATCTCTTTGTTAGGCCTCATTGTCTTTCGATTTTAGTGAGATTCCCAGTCAGTCATAGTCATTCCGAAAACTGCAGGATTTCAAAATTCCCGAAAGATTTTACGCGTTTAGCGAATTTGTGGCACAAACGAAGCTGCAAGTGTAGGGAAAATAACACGCACGAAGCGTACGTTGCCATGGAAATAGAGGCTTTGCTCGCGTGTTCCTGCGTGTTATTTTCCCTACACTCGCAGCTTCTTGCGTGTTTGTAATGCAGTTTCGGAATGACTATGACTGAATGGGTTNCAGGGCTCATCAGACTTATTGCTGGACTGTAACTCCAGCTGTTAAGACATTTGAAGTCAAATTATAACTTTAATGGCCTAAAAATGATTTAAATTTGATCTTAAAACGGTCAACATTAAATAGCCGTTATTACACCGTGAAAAAAATGATCACTTGTAGGCCGTTCAGATGATTAAAAAACGTCCAAAAAACGGCCTCAGTGATCAAGAACTAGTCATCTAACCGCCATTTAACTCGCTTTCCAAGAGCCATTAATGAGACATTAACTTCGCCGTTTCTTCGTCTTCTGTATAGTATTCATACACAAAGTTGTGCAAAGCAGAGAAACATCCTGTTCATGCTC